TGTCCAGCACGAGCTCTCCTTTTCCCTTCAAACTAGCCACTGTCCTTTCTCTCATAGTCCCATGTCACGTGACAACCTTCCCGTCCCTGATGGATCTCATCCGGTGGTCCCCTAAGACTGTTACTTCCCAGTGACGTGCGAACCCCCCCGGTTTGTGTAGGTTCACTACGTGAGGCTCGCACACAGTGTGAAAATGGCCTGCGGACTTAAGCAAGGAATGGTTGTACTTTTAAAAAAACAAACAAACAAACAAACAACAACAATAACAACGAAACAATGCAATGGTGTTGAAGACACTTTCAGGCATGGTGACCTAAAGCAGCCAACAAGCTACTCCTTCTGCACTCCAGCAATGCTGTAATGCCACCTGTGTTTCCAACAGCAACTCTTTGTTTTCCACACCCCCCCCCAAGGCCAAGCATGGAGCACTGTCGGCGCATTTGGTGCGTCGCTGTCGCTGCAGCTCGTACCGGCTTTTAGGTCTATCACGAGCATCTGTCTCTACCACTCATTGCAAACCCTTTCAAATCAAGGGCGGGAGGAGCTTGTCATTTTAGACCCTGGCTCTTCACATGGAGCCACAAACATCACTTAGAAGGAGCACTTGCTTTGTCTGCATATCTTCCTTTCCCTTTCAGTTGATATCACTGACTCAGTTTCTCCTTTTCCTTTTGGCAAACAACCCTCCTTCACGCTTTCTTTCTCCTCCTCTTCTTTCTCTTCTTCTTCTTTAGTGCCGGGGGCGGGGGGGGGGGCTGAATGTAGTGCCTTATAAATATTTGCTCTAACTGAGCTGTATCCACAGATTTTCATTCCCTTCTCCGTGTGTCTGTGTGTCTGTATGTTCCTGTGTACATGTGTGTTGGGGGGTTGTTTTGTTTGAATTTAAATTTTTATTTATTTTTACTTTGTGTGCGTTGGTGTTTTGCCTGCATGTGTCTTTGTGAAGGGGTCGGATCCCCTGGAACTGGAGATACAGAAAGGTGTGAGCTGCCATATGCATGCTGGGTCTTCTGAAAGAGCAGTCAGTACTCTTAACCACTGAGCCATCTCTCCAGCCCCTTGTTTTGGGTTTTTTGTTTTGTTTTGTGAAACAGGGTTCCTCTATGTTGCCCTAACTGTCCTATAACTCTCTATGTAGACCAGACTGGCCTCAAACTCACAGAGATTCTCTGGAATGCTGAGTTGAGATACAGTTTTGGGTAGCTTGGGTTGGCCTCAAATTCACTATGTAGCCAAGAATGACCCTGAGCTCTTGATCTTCCTGTCTCTACTTTCCAAGAGCTGGGATTACATATGATCCTCTCTTTTCCCCTATGTGTGTGTGTTTTGGTTTTGTCATATGTAGGGCCTTCCTTACTCATTCAAGACAAAACATACTACTAAGCTTTACCTCCAGTATTTCAATTATTTTTTCCTTAAGAAAGATTCTCAGAGCCAGGCAGTGGTGGCACATACCCTTAATCCCAGCACTTGGGAAGCAGAGGCAGGCTTCTCTTGTGAGTTCAAGGCCAGCCAGGCTCTGTTACACAGAGAAACCCTATCTCAAAAAATCAAAAACAAAAAGCAAAACAAAACAAAAAAAACAAAGAAAGGTTCTCAGCTGGGCAGTGGTAGCATACATCTGTGATCCCAGCACTTGGAAGGCAGAGGTGGATATCTGAATTTGAGGCCAGCCTGCTCAAATCGAGATCCACGACAGCCAAGGCTGTTACATGGAGAAACCCTGTCTCGAGAACAAACAGAAGAAGAAGAAGAGGAAGAGGAGAAAGAGAGAGAGAGAGAGAGAGAGAGAGAGAGAGAGAGAGAAAGGAAGAAAGAAAGAAGGAAAGAAAGAAAGAAAGAAAGAAAGGAAGGAAGAAAGGAAGAAAGAAAAAGAAAAGTTCTCATTATGTTGCGTAAGTTGGCCTTGAACTTGCTCATGTTGCCCAGGCAAAGATCTAATTTGAGATCCTCCTGTCTCTGCCTCCACAGTGCTAAGATTACAGCCATGTGCCACCACACCTGGCCTCCTTCCCTCTTCAGTCCACAGTTCAGGTTGAGAGGAAGGGGCTGGAGGGTGGTGGTGGTGGTAGACGTGACCACGTGATCACTATTTCATCAGAGGCACCGAAAGCCCAAAGGAGCCAACAAGCATCATGCCTAGCACTCTCGATAAAAGGATCTGGAAAGCAGACCCCGTCCCTGGGGATGCTCAGTTGTTAGGCCATACGCCTGCAGCTGCGGACAGTCATCTTCGCCACCGCACAAGCATGTGTGTCATTTACAGATTAGTACATTGCAACACAGGAAGAAGAAACAGGAGGGCTGTATTTCTGGTTATATTTTATCAGAACCTGGTATCCTATCAGCTACATCTGGATTTACTTGAGGGGAGTTTTTTTTCTCCCTAGAGACTTATTTACTCATTCATTTTTATCTCTTTCATTTTTATTTCATGCATAAGCATGTTCTGCCTGCATGTATGTATGCATGTGCATACGTGCACATCCCTGGGACCCTCAGAAACCAGAAAAGGGCATCAGATTCCCTAGAACAAGAGCCCCAGATGGTTGTGAGCTGCCATATAAGTGCTGGGAGTCGAACCCAGGCCCTCTGGAAGAGCAGCAAGTTCTTGGTTTTTATTACATAATGTGTGTGCGTGTTTGTGTATGGATAGATGCACGTGAGAGCAGCTGCCCTGGGAGGCTAGAGGCCCCACCGCAGCTGAAGTCAGAGGTGGATGTGAGGTGCCCAACACAGAAGCTGGGAACCAAGCTCAAGTCCTCGGCAGGAGCGGTATCTCTCCTGCCTCCTGAGCCAACTCTGCAGTCTGGGAGTTTTCTGTTATGGAAATCCCCTCTGCGTATATTTTCAGCTTCAGCATTTTGTCTGTTTGGTTTCAGAGACGGGTTTCACAACACTTGCAGGACAAGGAATTTCGAAGACTCATCCAATCGCTCAACCGGTGTTTGCTATTGTGAAGTTCTAAGGGATGTCTGAGATGATTAGTGTGATCTTCATGAGACATAGTGACATCCATTTGAAATCCCAACCCTGGGGAGGGAGTGGACTCTAGCCTGATTGGCGAGCTACGAGCCAATGAGAAACCCTGTTTCCAGGTATGTGAGATTTCCAAGTATGATACCAGAAGCTGTCCCCCAGCTTCCACACACTCACACACACCCAGGAGTACATGTGCGCACACAAACATTAACAAAGGAAAAATAATAACTTGGAAGGTGCCATGGAGAAGCCTGGTAACTCCAACTGAGGCTGTAAAGGGGCTTCATAGGTCCACGGTGACATTAGCAGGATCCCTTGGCAGACAATTACCCTATTTGATTGTCTCAGTGTAACTGTCTGGATTAATTCCAGTGAGGAAGGGAAGTTCATGACCCGTTGGAGGAAGATACCAAATGGGTATGGACCTCAGAATACCATCTGTTCCTACCAGTGGGCAGCGGGATGCTTAATCTGATGCTCATGATCAGCCATGCCTGTCTCATTATAGTGAAAAGGAGTCGTCCTGGTTCTGGAAGAGCTTTGGGGACACTGGGAGGTACAGGAGGAATGCCCTGGGGTGCCACAGTACCCAGGAAAGTGGCTAGTCAGATAATCAGGACAACTCCTCCCAAAAGAAGTGTCCAGACTGGAACTGAGTGAGAGCACCACCATGAAGTTCCTTGCTAGTAGGAAAAGGGGTAAAGAGGGGCTCATGGAAGATGAAGGGAAAGCTGGTGGGCGAACAAATCGAAAATGGCTGGGTATCTTGACATGCCCGATTATACCCGGGCTGCTGGTATCATTCATTTCCCTGCTTCACGGCCACAAAAGTGCCTCCCAGAGGAAGTGGGAGCTGGGGTTTGTCTCTCCTGGCAGATGGGAACACGAAAGGCTCTGAATTTTCAGCATCAGTGCCTATTTCTTTTGTTTGTTTGTTTTTCAAGACAGGGTTTCTCTGTGTAGCCCTGGATGTCCTATAATGTAGGACATTATGTCCTATAATGTAGCCCTATAATGTCACATTATAGACCAGGGAGGCCTCAAACTCACGGAGATCCTCCTGCCTTTGCTTCCTTGAGTGCTGAGATTAAAGGCATGCGCCACCGTCGCACAGCTCAGCGTCCATTTCTTTCGGTAGTAAGCCAACCCTTTATGGAGGACTTAGAACTCTAGACTCTTGGAATCTGCTGCTGGAGACGAGCCCAGAGCAATCTATGCACAGCTCATGAGGGCTCAGCTGTCTGAGGTTACAGCGTGAGGGTGGGGCGCAGCCCCGGGAACGGCATTACTTTTGCAAGGGACACCCTCCCTGAGATTCTGAGACAAGCAGAACCCACGAAATGACAAAAGCCCAGTGTTTCGGGAAATTCATAACTTGTGGGCGGGGGTATGCTTGCTCCGGGGAGAGGTGGCCAGAGACAAAACAGGTGCTTGGCGCAGGGTTGCTGGAGAATGTCAACTGGCGTGTGGGTACAGCTAGCGTGTAAACGCACTCCTGTTCTTTCTCACATGAGGTCCTCTGAGGCAGCCTCTCCTTCCCGTCCCTTTCCAGGCCTATGTTGGGGCGGGGATCACCTGGAGGATGAAGGCCTTGGCCACCAGGAAGTACATCCATGCAGGACCCAGAGTGCAGACTGCAACCCTTAAACAGCTGGTAGAGACAGACAGTCTTGCCACCTGCCTGCTGTGTGACCTTAGACATGCCACTGTTTCCTCTGCCCTGAGAAGGGGGTAGTAAGGATAGAATGTACCTCGGATGGGTACCACCGGATCAATGAAGTGTCCCAGCAGAGAGTGTTCAATACACTGGCTACTGTTATCAACCTCAGCCGCTCAGCCTCCCTCTGGGAAGCACAGCAAATGTATACCAAAATGTTTCCTCCCTCCTTCACTCTCTCCCTCCCTCCTTCCCTCTGTACCTTTTCTCTCTTCTCTTCCCCTTTTCACTCCTGGTTTCCCTTAGCCCTGCAACACCCTCAGCAACTGCTCTGGACAACATAACCCTACACAAATCCTTTTAGAAAAGCAGGTTTATTGGTCCGGCTGCTCACCAGAACACAGCAACATGAGGGACTGCCCCCTCAGGAAGAGCCCCACAGGAAACTGCATCCGCCCACAACTTCAGCCCATCAGCACCAAGGGACCTCACCCTACATTCCCGCCCTCCTCAGCTTACATATCTCCAATCATTCAGAGGGGGGAAGGGAACCAAGGAAAAAAAGGAAAATTAAAAATAAAATAAAAAAGCGAAGCTTTGTATTGTATAAAAGGTTTGTGGTTTTTATACCCCGCCCCGCCCCCCCCCCCCATATCAATTAGCTGCAATTCTAAAAAGCAGAGCAGGGAAGATGAGCAGGTGGGGAGAAGAAACTAGCCTCTGGCCATCCTTTGGGGGAGGCCTTGTCTTTGCTCCTGACCAGCCTTTAATGAGAAAAGGGGGTGGGGGAGAACCAGTGTGTCCTCAGAAGAAAACCTCACCTATTAGAATCAAGCCTCAGCACCCTCCCTTCCTCTCAACTTTCGGGTAAGGTGCCCCCAAAGGCAAGGAACCTAGGGAGGCCTTGGAAAGTTCTACAGTTTTACCCTAGGGAAAGATCCACGCTAGAAGCAGCTGGGAGGGCGCGGGGAAGGGCAGGTCAGCAGGCGCTGCCGCTCCAGCTTCCCGCGAGGACTCTCCGCCCTCGCCTGGCACCTTGCTCCCTCCCCCCCACCTCTCTCCTAACTGCCTGCTCTCCACGGCTTGCTGCTGCCCCCTGCTGGAACCCTAATTCTCTGGGCTTGGCAAACAGGGCTACCCAGCAGGCTGTTCGCAGACCCTGGAGGAGAGCGGCCTACCTCTTCTCCTAGCACACTTTCTAGAACTGGCTGCCCTCCTGTTCTTGAAACTGTCCGGCCGTCCCGAGCCCCTACCAAAGCGGGATTCTGCTCTTGAATTTCTTTGTGCTGCTAATGAGGGCATTTCTTTCTTATCCCATTTCAACTTTCTCTTATCCCCCCCCCCCATTTCTTCACAAAGCCATACTCATGTGCTCCTGGGTGCAGATTTTGTACACTTGTAAATATGTCCCCTCCCCATACTCGCCTACCATCTTTTCCCAGGCACCGATTGCCTCCTGCTTACTTTGGGGGGGACAGGGTCACACACTCTGCCTCCACCGCGCCCTGCTGCCTTAGGTTCCCCCCAAAACCCTCAGGCCTTCCAGCGGGCAAAGGTCTCCCTACACTCATTCTTTCTTCATGGTACTCCGAATCGGCCACCACTTTCTAAGGGTCCTATCACCGATACACCCCCAGCCATCTCTTCTTATTTTGAAACAGGGTCTCACTAAATTACTCAGGCTGGCTTTGAACTCACTGTGTAGCCTGGACAGGCCTCGAATCTCTCAGGTAGTTGGGATAGCAAGCTAGCGCTAAAAGGCCGCCCCCACCAAGGGTTGTAAAGGATCACTTTTCTCTTGCAGAAATTCTGGCTTTGGGGTCTCCCCGGGGGCGAAGCTAAGGGAAAAGAGCTCAGGAAGCAGGATGGTGCAGCTGTGTAGGAAGAAGCTGTGGCGGGGAGACCGAGGGGCAGGCAGACGCCCCCTCCCCCAAACAGGGCCTAACTAAGGTCAGAGAAAAGAATCCTGGGCCAGGACAACCAGGGCCTGGGCCGTTTGTCCGTGGCAGGAGACCACCTACCCTCGGTCTAAAGCCTGTGCTCTGGAGGGGGTGCTCTTCCAGGGGACGCGTTTTTAGCTTAGAAAAAGCCCAACCAGACTGGGGCCCGAGGAGAATGCAAAAGAGACAGTTTGAAAAGATGAGGGAGGGGGGCGGGGCGGAAAGGGGCGGGGCCGAGAGGGGGCGGCAGGGTCAGTCGCTGTCGCTCTTGTCCACCAGGACGGCGTCCGACTCCTCGGTGATCTCCAGCAGGGTGTGCACGTCGGGGCTGCTCCCGCGCAGCAGGTCGGCGGCCCCGCCGCGCCCCTCCCCCGCGCCGGCCTCGTCTTCGTCGTCGTCGGGCCCCACCTCCACCATCTCGGTGGCCTTCAGCACCTCCACCTCGCCCTCGCGGATCTTCTTGACGTGGAAGGTGAAGGGCGGCACCTTGTAGACGGCGGTCTTGGAGCGCGCGTACACCACGTGGTCGGGCGTGAAGGACTTGCGCAGCTTGTCCCGCGAGGTCTTGAGCTTCTCGCGCCGCTCGGCGGGCACCAGGCGGGTGCCCAGCTTGTTCATGCGCTTCTCCAGCGTGTGGCGCGTCTTCTCCAGGTTCTCCTTGGTCTTCAGGCGCGTCTTCTCCAGGTTCTCGCGCGTGCGCACCTTGGTCTTCTCCATCTTCTCCTTGGAGAAGGCCTTCTTGAAGTCGTCGACGCGCCGCAGGCCGCTGCGCTTGATGCGCTCGGCGCGGGACTCCTCGATCACCTCCTCCACCTCCACCGCCTCGTCCGACGACAGCTCGATCGCGGCGTCCTCCTCGGGCCGCTCGCCCTCGCCCAGCTCGTCGCCCTCCTTCTCCGGCAGCGCCTCCGACTCCTTCAGCGACTTGCTGACGCTCAGTTTGGCCGGCAGCTTGACTTCATCCTAAGAGGAGAGCAGAGCCGGGGTGAGAAAAGGCCGCCGGAGAGGGCGGGGCGAGGGCACCCCGGGGAGAAACCGAGCGGGGCGCTGGGGTTTCTGGGGAGATCGTGGGGTCCTCTGTGGTGACCCACCCTCACCCCACCCCACCCCCGGGGCCTGGTGCGGAACTCGTCACCACCTGGGCGTCGAACGGTCGTTATACAGTCAGCACGGGGGAGAGAGCAGAGCCCTCAGGCCCTCGCACACTGTGGCCACCCCCCCACCCCCCGTTGAGAGCTTTAAGCCTCTGTGACTTCGGAAGAGACAGCTTAACTTTGGAAATGGCAGAGCGCCCCCTGACGCCCCGATTTACACGCTGCGCCAAACGGGGCAGAAAGCCTCTTGAGAGTTTTAGAAGTTGACTGAGCTAGGGGTTGGTCTCACGGCGGATCCCAAGAGGTCCCCCGGAGTAGGGTAATTAACTTTAAGCTAAAGTAAAGGAAGTGTGTTCTCAGGACTTGAACCAGGAGAGCTCGGCCCACAGACCGGTTTCCGCCCTTGACTTTCTCATGCTATTTGGCTCCTCCCGTGGACGTCCCCCCAACCCCCACGTGTAAGTTAATGGAGGAAAGGGAAGATGTTGGCTGAACTCCAAGGATCTGTTTTCTCCCAGTCTGGACTTTTCTTCTGGTTCTGTTTTCCCTGGCCTAGAATGGGCGGGGGTAGGTGGGTAACGACTGTGTTTTTACTCTTGCTTTCTTACCCAGGCCAAAACTTAAAGAGCCAGGAGTGGGGAGGGTGGTGAACCCGTCCTGGGCCGCCTAATAATCCTGGATCTCAAAGCCAACTCTCAGCTCTTCTCTTCCTTCCAGAGACCCTAGCACCGGTCCTGTTCGTGACCGTGTGGAGGGTTTTCAACCTGACTTGGGAGGATCAATATTTCATCATTTTAGGGTCCCCTAACACACTACCACCAAAGAGTCGGCATGGGTGAGCACAGAACAGGAGTGGAGTTCCTAAAAAGGCCCAGACTCTTTTTAAGTATTTAAGTCCAAGCAATTGGGGGAGGGGGACATTTCTTTTTCTAAAATGTTTTTTCAAGGTCATTTCCAGAATTATAAGAAAACCCCATCTCTTGAGAAATGAGGCAACATAAATCGACCCGTCTCACAGAAAGTACACACACATATTCATAGGCTACATGAAATCTTTATACCACCTGCTACAGAAATTCCTTCCCCACCCCAATTCCCTTCCTCTTCCCTCCCATTCACATCCCCTAGCATTTCCTGGTTTACACTAGAAACTAGGAACACCTCCTCCCAGCTTCCTTCCCTCCTTGTCAATAACATTAGCAGGAACAAAAAGGGAATGCTGTCTCCATCTCGTCTCCCAACTGGGCATTAGCACTATGGGCACCAAGCCACCCCATGCTATCTATTACACTACTACACCTCCCAGCAGGCAAGGTAGCCTGAGCACAAGGCATGCTGGGATTTGTAGTCTCCAACTGCCACAAGTGGGGCTTAATATTATCCCTGGAATCCTATGACATGTGTCATCCTTCGGCCTCTTATTCACCAAGGCATTGAAGGAATGTTTTTCTCATACTGAGTGTAGGAAGGTCCTAGCCTCTCCCAGCATTCTTCTGGCATCAGTGGTACCCCCTGAGTCTCTTGCAATCATTCTGCCTGCACCTGGAGACTTATATCTGGACTGACATCATTAGGGTTTACACATCATCTTAGTACTCCCTAAGGTGCATCTCAGCCCAGATCATGTGTAGTACCATATTTAAAAAAGAACAACAACAACAAAAATCTCTTGGGCCAGCCTTGGTAGTGCAAGTCTTTAATCCCAGCACTCTGGAGGCAGAGGCAGGTGGATCTCTGTGAATTCGAGGCCAGCCTGGTCTACAAAGTGAGATCGAGGCCATCCAGGGCTGAGTGGGAAAGAGCACACACACACACACACACACACACACACACACCACCACACATACTCTTTTACTAAAGTCCAGCTGTGCAGATGGAATATGGAATAGTCGTAAAACAGTCTCAACTCCTGGAGGACAAATCGCTGCCCCATTCCCACCCCCGTGATTCTACCCTGGTTCTATCTCAACCCCTGAAAATAAAGCCAGCTGGTTTCTCTGGTCTCTGGCTTTCTATCTTTCTTTGTTGTTGCTGTTGTTGAGTTTGTGTGTGTGTGTGTGTGTGCATGCATGGTTGTTGTTTCTGTTTTGTTTTTCAAGACAGGGTTTTTCTGTGTAGGCTCGACTGTCCTGGACTCATTTTGTAGACCAGGCTGGCTTCGAACTCACAAGAGAGCAGTCTGACTCTGCCTCCCAGGGTGCTGGGATTACAGATATGCACCACAGCGCTGGCTCCTCTAGCTTTCTAGGTAAAGGTCTTTGCTATCTGAGCTGAGAAAATAAGGCTGAGGAGAACACCACGGGCCTCTTCCACCTACAGTGTCGGGGAGCAGTCTTAGGGAGGAGAAGTTTATGCCTGGGCTTTTCCAAAGAAGAGGCCATGGTGGGCTTTTCCTGGAGTGATGGCTTCTACCAGAGGCACCATCTTCTGGGTGGAAGGGAAGGAAGAAACTACTTGGCCTGAGTCCCTGAACTATGTCCTGTCGGGTGGCCCTGAGCACGGCACATTGCCGTCAGCTCTCCCCCTCTGTTAATGGATTTCTCTTTTCCACCCCCATTTCCAAGGCAGGCTTCCCTCATGACTCACAGCCTTGGAGTGCTGTCTTGGGCCCACCCAGTCTGCCTGTTGCTACAACAGCCAACAACACAGTCCAAAAGCCACCTCCCCTACTCTGGGCACCCAGGCCAGGCACCTTTGTCTTACTCCTCTTCCCCTGGCAGAGTGATTAGGGCAATGGACGGGGCCTCTTGGGGAGCAAGAAGGAAGGGTTCTGATTGTTCTGCTTTCCCGTTTTTATTAAACAAAAGCACCACTCCCAACAGGCTTGGTTTCCAGAGTTACCTTTAATGACCAGGTCTGAACAAAAGCACACACAGCTCCCCAAGCCAGGAAGGCACAAGTCCGGGATAGCGCCAGAGAGGCCCTGAGGGAAGTTCCTGCCTCTTACACTTCACTTCTGCACACTTGCAGAAAGTAAGACTTGGCTTAGAAAGGTCACTATAATCTCTGGGCATGGTAGCACACACCTTTAATCCCAGCACACAGGAGGCAGAGGTGGATCTCCATGAGTTCGACGCCAGCCTGGTCTACAGAGGAAGTTCCAGGGACAGCCAGGGCTGTTACACTTACACACACACACACACACACACACACACACAGGAAACTCTTGGGGTTGGGGATTTAGCTCAGTGGTAGAGCACTTGCCTAGCAAGCACAAGGTCTCTGAAAATATATATATATATACTCTAATTGAATGCCCATTATGCCCTTGGCGTTTCATATGAGGAGGACAAGTATTACCCAGCTGTGGGTAAGAGTCTCTCTCAGCTTGGTTCTAACCAGTTCTGTCTACAGCTGGTGGAGATGTTTCTGGGACCTAAGATCTGCTTAGAGAGCATATTAGAAGAGGATGCATCATGGAGCAAAAGATGAATCATGAGGAAGAAGTGAAGGGGGTGTCCTAAAAGCCCAGGACCTCTGCTTCAGGAGATGAGACATCAAAGGCAGAAAGGTGCTTTCTTTCTCCCCTGCCCCCTTCAGATTTTTGAGACAGGGTTTCTCTGTGTAGCCTTGGCTGTCCTGTACTCACTCTGTAGACCAGGCTTGCCTCAAACTCACAGAGATCCCCCTGCCTCTGCCTCCCTGAGTGCTGGGATTACAGGCGTGTGCCCAACAGAAAGGTGCTCTCTTGTATAGCACGCTTTCTCGGCAGGGATAGCATTGTTCCTGAGAGGACAAAAATTGCCTCCCAGAAGGTGGCAGAATGGTTTGTGGTGCTCCAAAGAGCTTCCGTACATAAATGATCACACAGTATATCTATAGTATTAAATTTTCATGAGGAGGTAAATGGAAAAAAAAATGTACAAGGGTCCCCTTAGGGAAATGATCGTGGAGGAAGAAATACAGAGAGGAGTCGAGAGGCCTTGTGCAGTCGGAATCAGCTAAAATGTCCTCCCTTTGGGCCTCTCTGAGCTGGCAGCTTTGGGGTGCCCCACCCAAGGCAGGACCTGGCAAACATAAGGGATCCCTTGGCAAAACATTTTCTAAAAGAAAATGAAAAAAAAAAAAAAAGTGTAAATGTTTTCCTCAGCTTCAGAGAGTGGGTGAAGAGGGCACAGAACAACTCCCAGGCCTGGGCCTCATGAAGGTCCCCCTCCAAAGAGGCTTTGAGCCAACCGGCCTGTCCCTGAGGGGTAGGGAGTGAGGGGGTAGGGAAAAAAAAGACTCAGAAGACACGCCCAGTTTCATGCAGCTTCATGCAGTGTAGCCTTTGGGTGCAGCTGAAGCCTGGGTGCAGGGAGAGCTACAGCTTAAAAAGAAATTAAGGGATACGGTTCTGCGGTTGAGCATTTGCTTAACATGCGCGAGGCTCAGGGAGAACAAAACATCCCCACCACTACCCAAGGAAGGGAGGGAGGACCCTCCCTTTTGCTGCCCACCCACACGGCACACACCACTTTTTGCTGCCCACCC